ATGTACAAAATTTCAACGTTTCTGAGGCTACTAGTTTTTGAGTTATGCGAGATACGTGCGTACGTACGCACAGACGCCACGAAAAAAATTCTCTTCAGAATTCATTTTAAATTAGTTTTACTACTTTTAAATAGATTTAGGGTTTACTACTTTTTTGGGGGAAATGAGTCCTTTATTCTGTCCTTACATACAGATGTTAAGCAAAAACATCGTTAAATTGCATTCGATAGCGGTGAAAATGGATATTTGCTTTGAAATATGACGCCTGAAACTTTTCGCAATTCCAATACTTCCCTTTTACTTCGCCCAAGGAAGTAAAAAGGTGAAAATATTTTATTTTTGTATAGGATTTTTAAGCAAATAGCACATATTTGTATGTAAGTCTAAGTAGTAGATATTAAAAAAAATAATAATAAATAAAACAAACATACAACTAGGCTTTTATTTTTAATAAAAATTTTTAAAGGTTCAGTTAGTTAGGTTATGTTTAAAATGAAAATGAATAATTTGAAATATTTAATTTTAAATAATTGTTAAACAATCAGTACTTAATTAATGTAGTTTTTGAATATGTACTTTTTTTACGTCATCTATATTGGGATTAGTTCTTGAAGAAGCTTACAAAATTAACGGTTTTAAGTTCGTACCAGGTAATCCTGAACGATATTTTGATTTTATTAAAATGGAAAATATTTGTTCACAAGCATACAATGGTCCAAATCTATAACAATAGTGTGACGGAGTTTCGCTATAGGTAAAATTCAAAGAGTTTTTATATTTATTTAATGTGTTCATGTGTGTATCTATCAACGGAGTTCATACAGATGTTATTATTATTTTTTTAAATCTCTTAATTTTTCGATAAGTCTTCGCGTGCCACTGTTAAAACTCCGCCATGCCACAGCGTGGCACGCGAGCCGCGGGTTGGGCATTTATGGTCTAGATCAGGGATGAGCAAACATTTTCGGTCGCGGGCCAAAAATCGAAAACAAAACGTTTGGCGGGCCAAGATATTTTTCTAAAATTTTAAGAACAATATACAAGTATTACAATTTATTATGTTAATGAGATAACTGAAATTGCGAATTCATTTTTAAAAGTTACTTATATTGAGGTTCGAGGCGTGATGTACTGATTCTAAGGAACGAAGCTAAATGCGCATGTGTCAATCTACTTCTGAAATAATTCTTTCTAAGGTTTATGGTTGAAAACACTTGTTCACATATCTAAGATGAAGCAAACATAGCACTGATTTTCTGGGCGTGAGATTTTAAATTCGGGAAACTTACTTTCGATAATGATTTGCAAAACTCTAACTTTGGCATATTTAGAAACAGCTGCTTGAGATGATGAGCTGCAAATTCGATTCAAACTGCAAATTTGACCTCACTGCTTCCCAGTTTACGTTGAAAGGCATGGTAAAAAATCCAATTCTGTTTGAATGGCATTGAAATCTTGACATCTTCGTTCGAACTCAAAATGCAGTTTTTTAAGCCATCTTCATAATTCTTAAGCTTCTCTTCAATTACTGAGGGTATTGAATTTAACCTCAAAGAGACTAGCTAGCTGCCCAGCAAACATATTAAGATTTACTAAGTTAAGATTCAGTTCTTTCTAGAGGGTCTAATTCACCTATAATTGGATTCCTATATGTCTGCTCCCCGAAAAGATACGCTTGTTGACGTCAATCTATAGTTATAACTACAAAGAACTTACGCGCTGCTACCTTTACGGATTAAAGTTGTCTGTGCTTGCTATTTCTGTCATTTTCTGTTTGTAGAACAAAAAGAGAGAGTAAAAAGATCATCAGTCATTAAAAAAGAAATAAATAATAAACAAAATAGAAAGGAGATGGATATATACATATCTCTTTTAATATGCCTCGGACGGAAAAATTTAAATTCTCTCCGTGGGCCGGATAGAACCTTCCGGCGGGCCGTAGTTTGCCCATCCCTGGTCTAGATATTGATTTAGTCAGAACATCGGGATTGCTTTCAGCCGACCCCCCCCCCTCCTAGGGGTGGTAATTCGAAGATACGAGAATTAAAATTGAAAATATTATTTCCATTTCGAATTCCATTCAAACGCTCAAAGCAGTTTAAAATATTATACAAGCATTCGTTTCGGCCATAGTATCAACAGATAGATCAAAATCAAGTAGGCAAAATCAAAATCAGACATAACAAATAATTTCTTGTAATGCAAATTTTATTTTAGAATCTTCCTCAGTCTTAAAAACAATTCATGTAAAGGAAATTTTAATACTCCTGAATAAGTAGTAAATATAGAAATGTCTTAGAAAATACCATCGATTTCTCAAGGACGTACTGGTACAAGATGTGAAAAAAGCAAATATATAGAAAAGGCAGAGGGATAACACAACTGCAGATGCTACCAAACTGTACTCTGAAAGGGAATTGGTTTGAAAAAGCATTAAAATGAGATGACTGCTAAATTGAATACAGTTTATTATTATCTAATGTTTTTTAAAATAACCTAATTTTATATAAATAACAATGTAATAACTTTTAATTATATGTTTAGTTTTTCATTCTAATGAAATGGACTATTTCAATCTCATTTTAGTGCTGTATTATTTACGCCTAAGAAACTGTTGGAGTTCTGTTCTTTGTTTGAGAATTACAGAATTCTAGCTTTGCAATGGATACTGGATTTTACTAATTGGTAAAATCGCTAAAAACATTCGCGACAGCTTGAGTTCTTAAATGGAGATGGCATTAAAAAATTGTTAGAGAACAGAAAAAATAACTTTATTTTTTAATCTTTTCACTGAAATTCATTTACATAATGATGTAATTAAGGTAATTTTATCATTTTTTTCTTTTCGATTTCGATCCTTGTCAAAACATTTACTTCTTTCTTATCCACTTACAGCAAAGCATATACTCAACTTTTTATTTGACAGGGTTGATGGTTTATTATTTGACATGATCTGTAAATCTTTAACAGAGTAAGAAACCAAAAACCGAAACTTAAATCCCTCTGTGGGAAAAAAAAAAAGGGAAAATGGTGAGGTTTGAATCATTTTATTAACTTTGATGCCAATGCGTTTAATTTTTCCATAGACAAAATTTAATGCAATAATTCTTCGAGTCAAAAAATCCATTATTAGAATTCATCAATGTCTACCAGTAAAGCACACAGTAAAAGATAAATCAAGAATAGTTAAGACAGTAAAGATAGAAACTAAAGTTTGGGGAATAGCAATACTTAAAATATAGTGCTGAACCTAGATTGTCGACCGCCCAATTGCAAATTTAAAAAGGCCGTCCTTTTTTTACAGAAATATAATATGTTTGATAATCATTTCCGTTAAATTTGGCCGCCCACGTGTTGTTCCCATCTTGCCTCCTCCCGCTAGGATCGGAATTGCTTACATATCTATACTTTTCTTCGTATAACAGGAGAAGCTTAGAAAGAATATATATACTTTGTGCACGATTAATATTATGATAACTAATGAAAACATGTTAAACCAAAACAAGAAAAAGAAAGATATCCTTAAAAATTCCGGAAACGCAATAGTTTAACTGGAATTTAGGTATTTAAAAATTGAATTATAAATTTTCTGAAATATATTTAATAGATCAAATTATAATGACCGGTGAGCATGGTTATCGTATTTTGTATAACAAAGATTAATTTCGAATATAAAAGCAATGCAGAATATGATAACGGTACTGAAAAAGCATATTTATTATGTCAGTTTAGTCGTTTTTGCATTTCTCTGTTTTTCTTTCTAATCATGCACTGATGAACGCTCATAAACGAAGAAACTTCGCGCTTCATTAATCGCGAAGATCATTAATAAAACAGAACATAATATACAATTAAATTTCCGAGAGAAATAAACAAAATCTGAAAGCTTTCAGATTTTATTTTACGCCTAAAGAGGCATTTTTTTCCTTTACACACACATATACGTTTCGAGAGCATTTGGCATAACGCCTCTTTGGGCTAAAAATATTTTACAACAGCGTATCTTTAGAATTTATGATCGATAGTCTCGCACGATGGAAATAAAAAAAAAATTATTCCCTATTTCTATATTATTTATATATTGGCACTGCTCGCTTTGAAATCGTTAACTTTTGTAATTAAAAATTCGTTAAAGTTTTACAAAATATGAAAAAAGAAAAACATTTTAAATTCAAAATTCGGCCTTCCAAGTGCCCATATTAGGGTGGAGGACTACGTTATTCAAAATTGGACTGCTCTAGATATCGTTTTTATTCCATAATGCGAGAAGCATACATACATTCGTACAGTTTTTTCATTATTTATTTTCTTTAAATTTATCATAGGGAGATAATATTTGGTGGCAGCAGTTTAAGAAGTAAGTGATTCAACGCAATATGCCGTTTTCAGACTAATATCACTTTTGGGCTAACGCCCCTTTAGGCTAAAACCTTTCGTATACCATAAGTATATAAAGAGAATATGAAGAGAAAACTTCCAAAGGAAAAGGAACATATTGTTCGCATTTTCAGTACGTGTAAAGTATTTACGATGAAATCAAATAGCCAGATAGCCCAACGATAAAGAATCATGCTAAAACGCTGTTGTAGTAAATAACTCATAAAACTGATTTCACGTTAGAAATTAAAAAAAAAAAAATGCTGAAATATAATAAGACTAAACTAAATAATTCATAAGTCTAATATAAGAAAAAGTAAACTATAGTATAGAAAACTTATAAAATAGAAAATAGTTTGAAATACTCCATGCTTTCAAGTACTAATTATTCCATCAGCAACTAAATTATTCCAACAGATTGCTCAGGTGCCCATACTAAATTATTCCAACAAATATCACCAAACTGAAATACAAATTAATACATTAGATTTAGATAATAGAGCTTAAACTGCTGCAACAAAAATGTGAACATTTTTCATGCTACTCTTTGCATTTTAAGAACTCTCAATACAGTGTATTAATTACAATAACAATGAAGAAATGAAGATATCAAAATGTGTATATAATTGGCGCAGTGTCGTTTATTACTTACCAACAAAAATATTAAAACTTGCAATGTTAGATGCAAAATCATTTTAAGATCTCCTAATTAGTAGTACATATGTTATCATGTTTGTTTTAACGCATTTTATGAACTATCACAGCATGCAAAAATTTAACCCATATGTTCTCTTTTGCGATATCTTTCCATTCATCGGCTGAGAAAATTTCCTGTTTGTTGATAGCAGAAAACTCAATGACACTTTTGTACAAATCATCATCGCAATGCATAGTGGCTAAAAGAAGAACTTCGTGCACATTTTCAGCAGACAGATGAGATTCCAGAAAGGAAGAACACTTTTTCTTGAGAAAAGGAACGTCATATTTATCGGCTACTGAATACAACTTTGTGGCTGTTTCATTCAAAGGTTTTCCCAAATTTCCAGAGTATATGAACAGAAGAAATTCATCCATTATATCAGGATCAGTATCTGAAATATTAACATTATTATCTTCCGTTTCAGTCATATTAGTTTCGAACATTTTAGAAAATACGGAAGATCGGAAGCATAGAATACTTTTGTGCACGGGGAATGTTCTGGAACCGACGATGATATTGACATCCGATAAAATCCCACTTTTGTAAAGATTCTGAAAGTCACTGCTTAAGTTATGAACATTCATAGATGATGAAAAAGCAAAAGAAGAGTTTACAATCTCAGAAAAATAACTGCAGTCTGAAAACTCAAAATCACATTTAAGTGAAACATCTTTCGAATAAATCCAAAGATCTCGAAACGATACTGCGCAATTCCAAGTTTTACTGCTTTCCAGTAATTCTTCACGATAGTTATATTTTTCAATAGAGAATATTTTACTTCTTACGAAAATTGATTTGGGTTCGTGATCATCTACTCTAGAAACTGAAATATCAAAGTTAATTCCATCTTCTGTCTTTTCACGTATATAAATAATTAAATTCCATTTCGAGGATTGCAAGACACTGACAGAAAATGTATGATGTAAAACTGTATCCATAGGTAGAATAGAGAGATCTTCTATTGGCCATTCAAATGATATGTTATGTATATCAATGCGCGTTCGTCCTTCCTGGGCTACAACAGGTATACCTTGCACTTTGGGAAGTTCATATTTTATTGCTGCGGCTGTCAATTCTTCTAACAGATCTGAGTTAGTGTAAATTATCTTCCCAGTATAAACATATTTAACTATTGCTTCCAGCACATTCGAACCTATGTCGAAAGTCTGCTCGCTTGCTTGTTCCGCATCGAGTTTCTCGACAATTTTCGGCCACCTCGCCCACAAAATAGCTTTATGTACTTTGAAAGTTGTATCATTAGCACGTAACGTGATGTCCGTAAATAATCCACTTTCGTGGGAAAGTGGAAGAAATGATTTTCGCTCTTCATTTCCACGTACTTTCAAACAGCATTTAATAATCAAAATGTTGCTCTGCAATGATGAAAAATTCGAGTGCTTTCTAATACGCATTCGAAATCCACTGTTATGTCGATATTCAGTCAACGCATATTTAGAACTAAAAATAATGTTTCCAGTACAATCCGTTCCTTGAATACAAAAGTTTATTTTGAAGTTTTCCAAATTGTCTTCATTTCTTGTTAGGAAAATACTTATGTATTCTTCATCGTGTTTAACTTTCGGATACAATTTCAGATACCATTTTACACCGAATATAAAGTCCTGCGCGAAACCCGGACTGCAAATTAATTGTTCTTTTGGTTGAAAGCTTGTGCTGAAGTTTTCAATTGCCCAAGTGAACATAAATTCATCGTCTTTTTGCTTGTTCATTATATCCTCCTTTAGCTAATTACTATATTGCTGTTAATGTACGGCGCGAGGAGCAAGTGTGGTGCGGCCTCGGATTCCCTGCTTCGCCATATGTATATGACGCAATTATCAAATCGCATCGCCATATCCGCATTTCCTGTGTTCGTATTCCTAAACGACTTTCTGTTATCGCAACTACAGTGATAAAGTGCAGGCAGTATCAAGGCTACAAATATATACTATTTATACATGTTCTTTTTGCATGTTCTTGTGCTATGTTTTATCATTAATAGTCAGGGTTTGATATGTACGGTTATATCTAACATTTAAATTTGTCGCCAGGTGCAAACTGCATCTCATTGCTTAGTCACGTTTTTTAAATGCTTGTATACACATCATAAAAAATCCGTAAAAATTTACTAAATAAACTCAAGACAACTGAGTTTATTAATTTTAAATTTAGACAACTGAGTTTATTAATTTTAATTTTAAATGTGGCAGTTTATTTTTAACTGCCATTAACCATTTCTGTAATCATAACAAACATTTTTAGTAAGTGTATGAGGTTTACAGCTATAGACGTTACAAATGCTTTGCTTGTAATTATGTTAAGCAGATATATATTTGGTACATGAGGCACTAAATGATACCACTGTAAAGGTTATAGGCATTTTAGTTGCGGTATTAATAAAATTAATTATGCAAACAGAAACTAATTTTTCGCATATGAAGTACCAAAATATTGTACTTGTGCACAGAATACTCTCTATTAAAACTGTACAGCTTAATAATGAAGAGCTATTAATCATTCTGACTCCATATATTTCACATCTCAGTAAAAACTGTATTCTTGAAGATGTATTTTTTTCTCATTGGTAACGTTATATTCCACACGCAACATGTATCTAATTTTGTGTATTTGGTATGAATTTTTTTACCATGTGTATTTTATTATCGATCGTCTGTGTATTGAAATTTGTTTTCAGTACTCTTTCTTAGTATCTATTGCGTTTTTGTATATTAGTTTGATTTTAGGTAAACATATAATTAGCATGATAGCGCTGTACTTAAAAATATGTGTAATTATGTATGTGGTAGTATTGTACATACAGCTAACTGAAAGTAACGATAAAGATGAATATGTAAATTTTTTAATACCTTTGCAGACAAGACTGTCATATAGTATACATATAATATCAGAAACAGCTGCTATTCTTTGCATTGTAATAACTTGGAGAGGCTTACTGCATAGTTCGAAGAATGACACTTAAAAAACAGACATGGCCGTAAAATTGAACACATAATTTTATTCCTTTCTAAATAATTCTTAGGTCACAAATTCATCTTTGCACATCATCATTGTGGCTATGCACCCCACAATTTTCTTTAGCTTATAACCTCTTTAGATAATGGACGAGACAGCGGAGATATGAACAGCACATTTCAGTAAGAACAGATAAAAAGCAAAAAAAGGGATAGAGAAATAAGTGCACATTCAAAAGAAAAATGAGATAGTCAAAAGGCTCTTTAATCTGATTGGAGAAAAAATATCCTCAATGTTACGCTTACATAGGACAGCAGGATGTGGTTTAATCTGTAAGGACGAAGTCCAGAAAAATTAATATTGCTGTGTTCTGGGGGTTCGTGGATTTAAAGTGATTGACGAAATACTTGATGAAAAATCAAAACACAACTTATTCACCAGTATTATACAGGACTGTTCCAGAGACACGTTAACAAACGTCCAAAAACTACAATAAACACGCTGAAACAATCAGCAACACAGCCTTCAGACTACAACGGTGAAGACAGCTTCACGGCAAAGCACTAAAGTACAGCTCCCAACTCGGTTCGGTCGCTGTCAAGCTAATCTCTGAACTCAAGCTACTTTTCACTCATTTTTCTGAACTGACAGAAACGTTGTCCAATTGCTGCTCAGGATTTAATCCAAGATTTTCCCAGCTTTTAAATACTACAGGAGTTACGACGCAACACGCGTTTGCTGCTTGGTTTGCCAAGGAATGTTAAGTCTCTTGCCTAAGCTCCTTTTTCTCTTATCTAAAATGTAAACTGCATGTATAGAAATTGTGGGCGCCTTTAACACCTCTAGGTTTTTATTAATTGCATACACCTTAAAACCCATAAGGTCTTCGAATATGTGACTGTTGCAAATATTGGAATAACTTATTTATTTTAAAAGTAATTACTTCCAACTTTTTACAGCTGACTAGCTGACTACATAATAGAGCTGCTTTCTGAAATCGTAATCAGAAAGTTTGTGTTGCCATAAATATTTTTATAATTCAATCCGCTTTGTGAGAAAAATTTTCTTCATGTTTCCACCTTGTGCGCACAGTTTCAAACATTCTGTTGCATAATCTAATTCCATATTTAATATATAGCTTTTATAACATTTGGAAACTACTGTGAACCAAAAATTATAAGAATTTCATATTAAGATTTTATTTTATTTGGAGTTGAGTTTATAAAATGTATTTTATTAAAAAAATCTGTAATGTTTTCGTGCATAAAATTTTTTAATATTAAAATATTTATCAGATTTTTGGTTCAGTTAGAAAATAGTGCCCATATAAAGAATTCCATCCAATTTCAAGTATGTACCATTAGCGATTTTTAAAATATCATGCACGCAAGGTGGAAACAAGACGAAACATTTTGTCACAAAGCGGATTAAGTTACAAAAATATTTGTGGCAACACAAACCTTCTGGTTACTATTTTCCAAAGTAGCTATATTATGTAGTCAGCTGTAAAAAGTTGGAAGTAATTGCTTTTATCCTAATTCTTGCAACAGTCACATATTCGAAGATCATAAGGGGTTTAAGGTGTATGAGCCTCCTTAAGCAAACAATGTATTTCTGAATAATTAATCCTATTCAAAATAATAATGAATGATGTTTTAACCATCAAACCAGTCGTGATTTTTATTCCAGTCAGATGTGCCCAGCAGTTTTCTCACCATAACTAAAATGTGAATTGGTTTCATCTTCCGCAAAAATTACAACATTATATAGAGTCGACAGATGTCGTAAGCACGGTACACCAATGGAAAAGTATCCGCAAGTAGGGAATGTAAAAAGGAAGCTAAAAAATTTAAAACAATGTGCTGACAATGTGCAACAGTGCACCCTCAGAAGTTTTTCAAAAAGAAAGAACGATTCGCTAGTCAGTTGGAAGCATAGCCTTAATGCGCATTTACTATTAGCGACTGAGTGCACTTCAAGGGAAAAGGGGCCAATACAAAATAATAACGTATTATTACGAATTTTGTATTTAGATAGGTAATTTTTGTAGAATTATATATAAAACTGTTGTACTTTTCTGTGTAATATAGCGCGAGACAAAATTTACGAGACATCTATTCCGGAAAAGCAAGAAACCAAGAGTGCATTTAACAGAGTAAATGGGTATCTCGGTTCTTTGGCGAGATATCTCCAAGCTGAAAACGGTTTTAAAGATTTATTTTGTCGCCAAATTAGGCGATAAACCTCCAAAAGTCGTCAAATCTGGTGACCATCTGGAGACATTTTGGTCCGGTCCCTGTGTCACTGTAATATGTATTGAAATTGAATAAATGCAATTGGCCGCTATGTTAGCTGTAACCGTAATTCTACACTCTTATTGCTTTCCAGTAAATTCGAGTAGCAGAAAGTACTAGAAATATCTCGCGGCCGGTTGAAAACTATTTAAGGCCGAAGAGAAAGCATCTGCTCTCAGTTGCTTAGTTATTTTTGTTTTCCAGTTGTTTAGTGCCGCGTAAACGGAGATACCGGAGTTAGCTTTCTCCTTAGATGCGCTTTTCATTGCGTTGTATTTAACGTTTTTAGTAGTTTGAAGCGTAACTACTGATTGTGCTCTGTTATACTGTGACACCTGTACGTATGCATCTGTGGAAAATTTCAGAATTCTGAAATACTTCTTTTGATAAAATAAATTTTATTAACCTATTATCGGACTTGTGCATTCAATCTATTACGAACCAGTACGCACGCAACAATATATATTAAGAATTTAGTAATTTTTAAAATCTAAAAGAATAAAATGCTTTCATTATGTGATTCAAAATTACATTAATTAAACAGCTCATATGATACTTTAATTCCGATATGGTTATCATTAACAAATAATCAATAAAATTGTTCCAATATAATATTTTTAGGGACTTAAGAACTCGATTTAGTTGTAATTACTCTTTTACAACATACGCCTACACTACAAGATTACAAAGTCATATATTTTACACTAAAACTAGCTGCAGTGCCAGTTGCTTTGAAGAAAAAAATCATTGCGTATAGGATGACTTTTAAAATTCTGCGGATTTCTTCTTATAAAGCTTTCCAGCCTTTATTGTGAATAGGACTGTATGTTGACGCAGCGCATCCACAGTAGAAGTAATTATCATTAAAATATGCTCCAAATGCTACAATATCAAAATAACGTCACACAGTGAGATAAAATTGGTGCAGTACTTTAAAAATGCAACAGGGCTATAGCCTTGTAAAGTGAAACAGCTAGACATACTTTCAGAATTACATTTCAGTCGTGTCAAATTGTTGATAGAATGCAAAACTAGCAGCAACAATACAATTAATTCTTCACAAAGTTTAACAGTGCTGCGCAAACTTCAGATTTGAAATTCATAATTGCAGAATACGTACAAACACATGAGGTGCGTTTAACTCATATTGTAGTAAAACACACTGGATGGCTGGTTTGATTTATTTAATTATGACAAAGCATTCTACAGTTATTTACTTAAGGGGAGGGACGTATTCGTGGAGGACTTTCTAAGGGAAACTGGTTCGTATAAACATACACGTGAGAAGAGAAGAAACTCGAAAACGCCCGTGCAAAGCCACAGACCGAACTACCAGTGTTCAACGAATTTACCCCTCAGCTCTGGTTGGCCATACTGGATGAGATCAAAGGTAAAGATGCACACTAGGTTATAGAATGGCTGTTAGTGCCATACAGTATCTGTAAAATCGAATCCGCTTTACTTCAGACAATATTTGTATATCTATTATGTTGTACTTCAGGCTTATCACTAAAAAGGGCATTTAAGCATTCCAGCTGAGCAAAAGTTCATAAAA